TTGGATACTTCCGATGTATGAGACCAAAATGTGTGGGCAGTGGTGCCAGCGTGGCTTTGTGAAAATGGGACTGGATGGAAGCAGGGCCCTGGGATTCATGTTTGGTCCCTCTGCTTCCTGGCTGGCTGACCTCGATGAGCCTTGTGTCTCTCTCTGTCTCCATCATACATCTCTGTGAGGTGGGGAAGAGCAGTTCCAGGGGAGGGAAAGTCAGGGAGGTGGAGGCATGTTGGGAGGGGCATAGCCCCACCTGGCCAGAGGCCCTGGGAGAGAGGGACAAGGTGGTCCTAGGCAGAACTCCGGACTCAGGCAGCCTTGCATGTGGGAGCAGGTATCGGTCTTAGGGACCAGGGGCGGATAGAAGCGCATCTGAGGTCAGGCTGGGCTGTTATTCAGGGACCACTAACGCTGGCATGGGAGGATGCCGGGCACCAGCTCATTTCCCACTGAGGATTCTGCACCTGTCCAGTTGCCAGAAGCCACCCTGCTGTATATGATCTAGCTCTAGCTCTTAAGAGCTTCTGGGACACAAGACCCCACAAGGGAGTTCCCGATAACAGGAATTTGTTTTCCTGATTCCCCAAGTTCAAGGTCAAAGTGTTGGCAGCACTGTGTCTCTGTGAAGGCTCCAGGACATTCTGAACGTTGTCCTTTGTCCTCACCTTCCCACCATCTGTGCGTCAAAACCTCCCCTGTTGCTCCAGACTCACACAGGCCTCAGTGGAAGCTCTGCCCTCACTGTCTGTCTTCCCACAGGGTGTGTCTGAGTCTTTGCCTCTTCTGAAGATCCCCAGACTTAGGTCTCATCCTGTACAATCAAAATGCCCTCACCGGAGCGTGCCCAACATTTGTTAAGATGCTGTTCACCATGAGACCATGTTCTGAAGTCCTTGGTGGACATGAATTTGGGTGGCTCTTTCAATGCCTGTTTGTCTCACCATCTCTGACATTGCATCCTCAGGATGCCCCTGGTTCCTGCCACTTTTTGGCTCTGGGGCAGTCATCAGGATTGATGCCTTGGGAAGAATGGAGCTTCATCCAGTTTTCCTCCCCTCTTCCTGGAAGCTTGGTCTTCAGTATTTCTGCTTGCAGTTATTGCCCTCACCTTGGCTGCCTTCACTAAGCTTTTGTGCCTGGGAGGACTATTCTCACACAGGCTGCTTGCTATGGCCGGGAACAGAGGTCCATCTTCCTTGTTCCTGCCTCCTACCTTGCCTCGGTACATCTTACCTTTTATAAGCTGTAAAGTAATACCTCTCGGAATTTATACACAGTACACTTCCTCTAGTTACCAACATGTAAGGAGTGTTTCCAATCTATAAAACTATGTGAGTAGCTTTGGTAACTTTTTAACTATGGTAGCCTACGCGTTCCTTTATGTGCACCAGTCTCACAAGCAACTCTTGACTTGCTCATGGAAATACCTTTTCCTCTTTCAAACCTGGTCAAGGACGACACAGAAATTACTGCCCTGTGGGTAGTGCATCCAGGCAGCCAAACACGGTGCTGTGGACTGAACTAGCTGATGACATTCCCTGGGTGGAAGACACAGGTACAGGGAGAGCATTGCTGGCTCCCTGGAACCAATGGTTGCCTCGGGTTTTCCTTGTAACATCCCGTGCCTGCTGACTGCTTCTGTCTTGTTTATGATACCTCCGACTAATTAAATATTAGTGCATTTGATTACCTTTCAGGACAGAGGGCTTCCACGGGAAATAATGATTTATTCATCTCCATAACAAAATTGATTCCTGTGCACTTTTCTCCTCCGCGGTCGAGGTAGCCTGGGCTGCTGGCTCCAGGAGTCTGCACTGTAACTGGCTTTCTGAGTAAACATGCAGGAAACTGAAGTCAGCCATTTCACCTCTGTGCCTCAGTTATTCGATCTGCAAATGGGTGATAATTAGACCTCCGTTAGAGAGAGGAAGCAGGACATCTGGAGGGATGGGGAGGCGATGAGCCCAGCATTTGTCTTATCAGAACCGCTGGCATGTGAAAGTGCTGTGTGTGCGTATTACTTGACTGTGAGATGTTTACATGCACCAGCACTGTGCTAGCCATGGGCTCACCAGGAGGCTGAATTTTAAAGATGGCAGAACCCTGTCCTTGCTATTTAATGATTTCCTGACATGATCAGAAACCACAGTGCCGGTCGTACCATTTGGTATCTTTATGAGTGTCACATACAAGGACGCTCCGGCTTAACCTCTCCAGTGGGAAGAACTGGGAGGAGACCATGGGCAGGGAGGGGAAGTTTTTGACAGCAGACGACTAGTGTCTTCCGAAGCTTTCTGCATCCACTCTCCTTAGAGCTCAGAGAGTACATTCCATGTCAGAGTCCCCCAAGTATGACCCCACACTTTAGGGGACGTAGCCTTATGCATGGTACTCACCAGTGATACTTTTGTTTATGTTGCCGCATTCTGTTTTAACATGAGTCACAGTGCCAAGGCAGAACAGCTGAGAACAGTGTAAATCCATCAAGGGGGATAAATAGGAAAGCGTTAAGCACATGACTGCTAGACTGTGGTAGAGGCCTGGACGCTGCTTGGATGAGCACAGTGTGAGACTCTTCACCACAGTCCCCAGTGACCAGGACACTAGCCACAAAGCTTGGCAAACTGGTTAAACAGGAACACTTTGTTTTAAATCTGAACTCTTGCACAGGCTCTAAGGCGACCTTTGTTTTTCCCTTACACCTTGAGGCATCTTTCCATGTTGGTGAATATGCCGGTCAGGAGTTGGTGTCACTGTCCACACAGCTGTGGAACCGTTGGGTCTATTTGGTTCTTTAGAAGGGGGATAGTGTTGTCAGCTTCACCCAACTTAGAATCACCTGGCAAGAGTCACAGCGAGGGAGTGTCTACACTGAGTTGGCCCTCAGGTTATCTTAGGTTAGTTTAGGCAGGAAGACCCAGCCCACTGTGGGGGTTTCCACTCTCTAGTCAGGGGATCCTGAGGTGTAAGAGTGGAGACACGGAGCTGAACACATGAGCAGTGACAAAATTTGTATGTGTTAACTTCTCTCTGCTCACGACTGGTCGGGATGTGACTATCCATTGGAAGTTCCTGCCTTGACTTCCTCATAGTGACGGGCTGTTACCTGGAACTGTAAGCTGAAATAGGGCCCTCTCTCCCCTGAACTATATGTGTCAGGGAATTTTATCACAGAGACAGAAATGAAACTAGAACCACTGGAGATTTTAATCCACAAGGGAACTCCCCGTAAGTTTCATCTGATCTAATTGGGATGACTCTGCCTGTGACTTTCAACAAACTTGAAAAAAAATGCAGAAAGAAATATAAAGTGTGGGATAAACAACAGGAGTGGAAAGTTGTATTTCCAGGGTGTCTTTTGGGAGACAGAGGAACTCATAGATTTTGTTTATTTTTCAGGACGGTGTTGTGGAAGCCTTTTTGCTTTAGTGTTGTGGGCTTTGTTTTGTGCTGTGCTGTTTCTTAATGGTTTCCCAGGAATTAAACAAATGAAAGTAATGAAGATGTTAGGGCTCTATAGACAAGAGGCTTCGTCTCAACATGGGGTTGGGGTTGGGGTCCCAGGTTAAGGAGCTGGGGGCAGTTTGTTGGGGGCAACTGTGGGGACAAGAAGATGGGAAGCTGATGGATGCATTGAGGGGGCAGGACTGGGAAGGGGGAAGCCCCACATGTCAGTTCCAGCCCTCAGGCCCCTGGGCAGACACTGATCCTATGTGTGCTCTCTTCATGGATACACGTTGGGTGCCCAGACACCTGGCAGGTCTAGGTATCTAAAACGCACGTGGGGTGTGGCAGAAGCCCCAGACCACCATCCTCTAGATTTCACGTTCTTCCAAAAGTGGGCAGGACCTGTGTTAGATGCACAACCTGAGTGTCTGGTACCCACATATGAATATCATTACCTGTCTAGTAGGGTAACTGGGTAGATGGGTGATGTCATGGTCTCTCCTCTCTTACTCCATCTTTAGATCTGTCTCTGTGGCTCAAGCTGTCTTTCCCAGTGTCTCCCAGGTCCCTGCTCTTCTTTCCTTCCAAGCTCTCCCTTTACCCAAGGGGAAAGCCTTTAGAATTTACTATTATTATCATTATTATTGGAGACAGTGTCTAGGCTCTCACGTTGGAACTCACTTTGTAGCCCAGGTTGGCTCGGAGATCCCAGCAACCCTCTTGTCTCAGCTTCTCAAATGCTGGAATCGCAGGCACGAACCTCAATGCTTAGCTCTGTTTTGACCTTCAAGAAGCCTCTTTAACGGTTGTCACAAGTCCACATGGTTTGTGGTGGATTTTTTCCAGCTTCTTTTTTGCATTCATTTGTTCAGGGCCATTGTTTCCTTGCTAATCACCTCCCACTTCATTGATCTTGTCTTTTTTTTTTAAATTATGGAGTATGTTTGTCACTGAGATATAAAATGAATAAAATAAAATAAATGTAAAGGATGACAGAGTTAGTTTATTTTTTTGTGCAAGTCTGTTTTGAAGACAGAGTTAGCACATATTGATAACTAAGAAGAACAATTGCAAATCATTTTCACTTCAGACCCAAATTCAGTGGTGAGAGTTTGGAGATACGGAAGATAAGCACAAATGACAGATGATGGTGTGTGGTGGTAATCTAATTGTACTGAAATATTATTTTAATTGTATGTTAATAAATAAAGTTGTCCGGGGGTCAGAGCTATTAGAGCCATAGCAAGAGTGTGGCGGTGGTGGCACACGCCTTTAATCCCATAGATCTCTGTGTGTTCAGGGATATAGCCAGTATTGGAGACATATGCCTTTAAGACCTAGGGGGCTGTACATTCAGACAGTGATGAGGCAGTCATGTGTTTGGGTTTACAACCAATGAGAAGGCAGAACAACATACTATAAAAAAAACGAACAGACAGGAAGTAGCTCTCTTTCGCGAAGCTGGGACAGCAGGAGGAAGGGTGAGATTTTTAGCTCTGAGCTCTGACCTCTCGGCTTTCCCTTTTACATTGTTTCTGTGTTTCTTATTTAATAAGACGGTTGGTTACATCTACAATGGTGGGCCCGGGAGACAGCCTCAAGACCCTGTACATGGCAGTGAGATACCTCAGCAGCCACAGAACCCTGCAGCTGACAGGAGACCCTGTAGACTGGGATGAGACCCACCGATGATGGTGGACTCTTTAAAACAGCTATAGGACCTGGTGGATGGCCTTGGGATCCTTCAGATGACTCTGGAACCAACCAACAACCCTGAGACCCTGCAGCCCATGGTGGGATGGCTCTGGTTGACCATGCAGAGAAGTTCATCACCACACTGCTGTTTCCTGGAGCTTTCTGTAAAACCCTTTGTTCTTGCAGAAACTTTGGGAAACGTGTGACAATGGGAAATGCTGAGACACTGTCGCTCTGTCACAGGATGACCATTCCTGTGTGTATTTATCCTGACCATTAAAGTGACATTATTCTCCACAGACTGAATATCTTGATTCTCAAAATTAAAATTATTCTATGATTATTTCAAGCTTTTGTTCTCTGAAATATATGGAACAGGTGTAACATGATTCCTAACGTTTAGCTATTCTTCAGTTCTTAGAAATAAATTTAACCCAATGGAAAGGAAACACAACAGTTAGACAGGTCTCACTGGTATCATGCTTCTGGACACAGCTTGGTGCTGGCAAAATTCACCCAGGATTCTGCTGCTGCAAACACCTAGATATGCTGAACAAAAATAGACCAAGGCTCGCTCCAAGGAAGGGACCAGATTCCAGAGCCAAAGCCAGTCCGGTGGCACTCAGTAGGAGCAGCTGCATTAGGCCAGTGGAGGGTACTGGAGGCTGGAGGCATCGTTAGCCCAGACACATGAGGACAGGAGAAGAGCTGAAAATCTTTGTCCCGTCTTAACCCGAGAACTTGACCTATTAACATCCTCAGAGAAAAGACAGCAAACCCCTCTGAGTTTCCCGTTAAAGAAGTGACACAAATTATCCCCTTTCCTCGGGAAGACAGTGGAAGATTCTCTATGTTCTGGGAAGAAAATGTTGTCAGCCTGGAATTCTGATGCGGAGAAGCAGTGAGGGTACCCAAGTGCACTTTGTGACAAATGCCAGGAGTTCCACACAGGAAACGCTAATTGATGCAAATTCTGAAAGTTGCAGGAAGAAGGGAGGGATTTCCTGTGGAGTGCCCCAGACAAAGAAAAAGAGCACAGAATGGAGGCGTGAGAGGGTGGGCTGATCTAAAGGAAGATCAAGCATGTGGAGTCATAGCATGGTTCCCCAGGTAGCCACAAATGGAAGGAAGCTGCATCGCCCCAAACAACACTGATATCTGTAATAAGCAGATATTGGAAAGACTGGCTTGGTTTGGACTGGCCTGAGCCCATGGGGTTTTTTGCCATGTCCAGACTATCACTTAAGAATTATAGAGATGCATAGTTCTAAAGAGATGGATGAAAAGAGGATAAATAAGCAATGAAATGTATTCTATTAGCACATTATCAAGTGATGAAAACCAGTGAAGTAACATTCTAAGAGAAAAACAAAACAGATCCCATGTCACATAAATGCACAAAACTCCAGAATAGTCACTTTACTGGCATGTCCAACCATCATCAGACACATCAAAACAGGCTCAACCTTATGAGTGTGTGTGTGTAACTGTGTGTATGTGTGTGTAACTGTGTGTGTGTGTAACTGGGTGTGTATGCATGTGTAACTGTGTGTATGTGTGTGTATACATGACTGGGCTGTTGTCTCCACTTGTATGGTGATGCACTGACCCTCTGTGTGACTGTATTGTATTTGGAGTTAGTTTTTAAAGAGGTAATTAAGGTTAACTGAGGTCACAGGCCAGGCCTTTATCCAATATGACGAGTGTCCTTCTAAGAAGTGCCGGACACTGGCATGTTGGCACCAGGGAAGAGGGCGTCTGAGGACACAGAGAGAAGACGGTATCAGTTGTCATGGTGATAGGCCTCAGGAAAAAACAAGACTGGACCTCCAGATTTCCATTGCTTACGCCTCCAATTTGGTTATAGCATGTTGGCATGGAGAACATACACTAAGCGGCGGCATGTGCGTACATTTCAGAACATACGAGGATGAGTGAGATGAGGAGAAGACAGGAAGGGACTTGCGGCATGTCCAGCTGGTGGTTTCTGTGGTGGGGGTGGGGAGCTGGACATGGCTGAGGCGGAAGAACCCTTCGACATGCAGCGGAGAGCAAGGCTTCAACCTGGCCAGTGCTCGCCCCTGTACCTACTGTGGCTTACACTTGGCTACACTGTGTTAACGCCTACATGAGCTGTACATCTGCAACACACAGACGGAAAAATGAGCAATTAAAGAAAAGCTCAAGGGGCTTCCAAGTAGATAACTTAGGGCAGTGCTTGGCTTTATTTGAAAATGTGAACGTAAGAATAAAAGGGCCCTCGGGGTTGTAATGAGTGTCTTTCCGTACACCAGGAGGCAGTGGGCATGTTCATCTCATCACTATATGTTTTTATAACGTATCAGTAGAATATCCATTTCATGTGTACTTAACACTTCAGAAAATCAATTAAAATGCTTCAGATTTATTTATTATTGTATGTGTATGAATGTGTCATCTACATGTATGTGTGTGCACCATGTGCATGCCTGGTGCCTGTAGAAGTCAGAAGAGGGTGTTGAGTCGTCCCTTGGAACTGAAGTTAGAGACAGTTGTGAGCCATCATGTGGGTGCTGGGAATCAAATCCAGGTCCTCTGTAAGGGCAACAAGTGCTCTTAACCACTGACCCAATTCTCTGGCCCTCATTAGAAATTTAAAAACAAGAGCAAGAGTAAAGAATAATGATGCTGGTGGGTTCAGAAATTCAACCACGTTTTGTTTATCAAAGACACCTAATTAATAAGATTATTGGGAAAAAAATCCAGACAAACAATGGGGTTTAAGGGAAGACTGTCCCAAATACTGTCTGAGACCTTGGGGTACTATTCTGAAGTGTTGCCCCCTGTTTACAGGAGATGCCTAGTAAACTGAGGAAGCTCCCCTTTTAGATTGGAGTCTGGTGAGCCTAGGAAGCATGAGACCATTCACGTTCTTGTTCAGAGAGCAGCCCCCCACCTCCCCCCTGCCAGACTGAATTCCCTTCTGACACCAGGCAGTCTTCTCTTAGCTGGGCAGCTGAACAGATGTATCTATTCCTTGGGCACCTTGCATGTGTCTAAGAACAAACTCATTATCTTGTCTCTTAAACAAGGTAATGGTTCCTCCCCAATTCCCCTGTTTGTGTCAAGGATGTTGTCTTGGGATTCTTTGTTGCAACTGACAGAAACTCAATGGGCCTGAGTGGAGCTGAAAGACAGTTTGTGGCGGCCTGGGGGTGGTGTGAGTGGAAAGGGGATATCCTGGGCCCCAGGGGTAAGAAGGGGGCTCTGTGCAGCCTGTTTGCCTCACCTCTGCTCTCTGCTCTGCGACCTCGTTTCTCCTTGGGTGTTTGTAGCTCTCCCGTTGAGCGTTACTGTAGTTAGTGTTCTTTTTCCCTCTTCTTCCTCTCCTCCTCCTCCACTTTGTTTTCTTTTTAATTAGCTGATAATACCTGTGCCTGTCTGTGGGGATATGATACTATGTTTTATAGAATGATCATGTCAGGTATATTAGCACGTCTATCACCGCAAGTATGTCATTTCTTTGTGGAGAGGACATTTGCAACCCCCTCTTTTAGGGCCTAGAAAATGCTCTGTAGGAAAGAGCATGTGCTCTTCAAGATGAAGACCTGAGTTCAAAACCCCAGTACCCACTTAAAACGCTGGGCCAGGCTGTGTGTGCCCATGGCCCCAGCACTGGGCAGCAGTCAGGCAGTTCTCAAGAACTCACTGTCCAGCCCGCCTTGCTAGAGAGCCGGCTTCATATTTGGTGAGAGACCGAGTCTCAAGGCAAGAAGGTGGTGAGCACTATAGGAAGAAACCTGATTCCTTGCCTTGTTTTCCACATGCATACTCACATGCTGGTACCACATCCACACACATAGCACACACACATACATACACTCACACACATAACACACACATACACATACACACACACATATGCACACATAACACACACATACATAACACACACATACATACACACATAACATACACATAATACATACACTCACACACATAACACACACATACACACACTTAACACACACATAATAATACACTTACACACATAACACACACATACACACATATAACACACACATAACACACACATACACATACATAACACACACATACACATAACACACACATACACATACATAACACACACACACATAACACACACACTCACACACATAACACACACACACACAAACACACATAAAAATTTCAGAACTTGTCTCTCAACAGATTTTGAAATGTGCATTACCTCACTGTTAGCTGAGGTTGGCATTCTGTGCTAAGCACTCCTATCCAACTGAAGCTTTGATTTGCTCCTTAGGTCCCCTCTCCAGATGCACCCACTGAGTTGATTCCTTGGTAACTACATCTCTACCCTCTTCTGTAAGTTTGGTATTTATTTTTAGAATCTGAGTGACACCATACGCATTTTATCCTTTGTGTTCTTGCTTATTTCATCCATGCTGCAAGAAACGATTGGTTTTCTCCCTCCTCTGCTCGCCCATCCCTTCCTTCTTTTCCTTCTTCCCCCTCTTTCTCACTTTGACAGGATCTTGTATAACCCAGGCTGACTTCAAATTACTACTCAGCTTAGGATGACCTTGACTTCTGACCTTCCCACATGGACTCTCTTGCAGCTTTGTGCTTGGACTTTTATCTGGTCAGGCTACTGGGTAGGCCGTGACTGACCTCACATTCCCCATTGTACTCACTCTGGTCACTGTGTGCTGGTCCTGGTGGTGAGAAGCTTTCCTTCTGCTCAGTCTCAAAGCTGAAGACTCTTGCTGTGAGTCCAAGTGGCCGCACCTTCACAGTGCCTGACTGGCAGCCATGTTTTCCTGACCGGCACCAGCTTATCATCAAAGCATTCTGACTCAAGATCCATTGTTCTGAATACAAATCATGAGGCTGCACCCAAGAAATGGTAGTGGATCCAGAGTCTGCCCCATAGTTCTGAAATCTCAGATATTTAGCTATATCAAGAGGTATGACAATATTTGGACTTAATGTCAGAGCAGAGCTCAGATTCCAAACCCAAGGTTGTTGCCCTTCTACAAAGCAGGGTTCAGAGCACAGACCACAGGAAGGGCCATCCACCTGTGCATTGCGCCTCTCGTTAGCTCCTTGCTCTCAGGGTAACCCTAAAGTCTGCTTAGGTTTTACAGGTGGAATTTTGGGCACCACTATATCAAATGTATTAGAATCTCCATTCTATGTGTCACCTCCATCTGTAAATCTGTTTCCATCAAACAAGCAATCAGAGTGTCTCTGGGAGGATTTGTCCCCCCCACCAACAACTCTGATGGAGAATTTGTTCCCCCGGCACCTCTGATGGAGGATGTTTACCCCCAGCACCACTGATGGAGGATTTGTCCCTCCTCAACACCTCTGATGGAGGATGTGTACCCCCAGCACTTCTGATGGAGGATGTGTACCCTCAGCACCTCTGATGGAGGATGTATACCCTCAACACCTCTGATAGAGGATATGTACCCCCCATATCTGATAGTTTCATCACCCTGTGGCATATTGCAGGCACCACCTCTCCTTCCTCCATTGCTTACTGGAGACTCAAGATGTTGAGGATAATTCTGATCCTCCAGCTTGTACTGATTATAACAACATTAGGTAGGAAGATGCTCCCATCATTCACCAATGAAGAAAGTCAAAGTGACGTGAAGTGCTTTGAAGTTGCCATCATTTTCCTTTTAATCACTTCAGATTCTTTTCAATTAGAAATTGGGGATGGAAGAACCAGCTTCATCTGCTCCTTCCTCTGGGGCCTCCCAAACCCTTGGTTCATTGAAGCCGTGATTTGGGCACTCACTCTGGATGCTGTTCTTGTCCTGCTCAGAGGCTGCCCTGGGCTCGAAGGGCTGGAGCTAGGAGGTGCTCAGCGGCCTCCTGGCCTCAGTCTTCTCAGGAGAACCTTGTCTCTGTGGGGAGGGCAGAACACTTTACAGCCGGCGTTCCTTGGTGGCACAAATGCTTGAGCAAGTTGGTGGCAGCACTACAAGAACTGCTTTGGCCCTTGCCTGGTTGTGGCTGCCGGTCAACGACAGGAAAGCAACATCTCAGAGTAGCTTTCTAGCTAGAACTGCAAAGGAGGGAGTCCGAGCCTCCTTAAGTCCCTTCTTGTAAAGCGACAACACTTTATTCATCTCGTTTATGCAAAGGTCACCAAACACATATACAGCTGATGAGTGGGAAAGAGTAGAAGCACTTCAGAGAGCACCAGACTGCAGAGACCCAGCAGGAAGATGCGGGCATCACTGTTGGGCTGTAGCAGAACTTCTGCCAGCCAGGGCATTTTGTCAGGCCCCAGTGCCCATCGCAGGGCCCTGTTGAGCCTTCCCGTGTCTGTAATGGAAAGGTCTGAGTCAGATATGCAAACCACGAGTTTGAACATTCCCAGCTGTGCGTGCCTCTCCTGCCTGGACTTTGCACTTCATGTAAACTCCGCGCTCGCGCCTGACTGTGTATAAAGGGCAACAGATTGTGGAAAACAAGTCAGACTCACCCCTGTTTACCACAAACCAGCCAGCTAACAAGGGGAGGGTTGTGAAACTGGGTAGTCCAGGTCACCCTTCTACATACCTAAGAGCATGGCCTTGTGGTGATAGAGCCATCTTCTGGGGAACAAGGGACCGCCGGGCTGTAGGGTGACCTGTGTGTCATCGGCCCTTCCAAGCGTCCAGAGAATGAGAGGTCTCACTGTGAGAATGGAAAGATGTCCTTTGAATGAAGCATGCAATGGGAATGATTGGGCCACTTTGCTGTATTTCCTGTGGTCTTCAGGGAATGTGGAGTTGAGGAGTCTGGGTGTGTGGGCAGCACTTCAAGCTTGCTTCCTTCAGTTTGAACAGGTTCTGCCCAATATGTTCCTCCATCATCTCTCTTCAAAACCAGAAGTCAAATGAGGCTGACATTGGCATCCTTGTGACTTTAATCTACTCTTGCTTCCTCCTGTTGATGATGTGTTGATGATGCTCGTGATGACGGCCTTGCACACTGTCACGTGCATTAGCAAGGACACATGGTCCCTTTATAAAACAGAAGGAAGACTGGCTTTTCTAATCATCGGTGATGAATGAGGGAGGAAGCATGTTTGAGTTTCCGGAACGTTCCTGGTTTGCTTTGATCCATCTTACTAGATACAAGCTGCCTTGAAGAGTGAAGACTTTGAACGGCCTTGCAAAGCTAGTAAGTTTCTTGCAAAACCTTCAAACCAAAAGACTATTGATTGGCTCTGACGTCAGCGGACCGCTAGCTGACCACAGGCTGCGCCTGGGGGAGGCCAGCGTTTTCTCATGACATCAGTCCTCTGGCCAAGGATGAGAGGGACAAGACAGATCTTCAGCGGGGAGACTTCAAAATAAATGCCTTTCAAATAATTTTTGTTTTCTTCTGAAAAGAAAACGGGAACTCATTTCAAGGAACTCCGTAGCAAGCGGCAGTGGCGGCCAGCGTGTCAGAATAGCAGCTGAGCACGCTGGTGCAAGTGCATCACTCATCTGCAGGGCTTCCCTTCCCCGTCATCGGTGTGGGAGATGGGATGATTGCGACGATCCACCTCCTGTTTGCATGGTGAACGTGTGCCTTAGCCTGCAGGCCTTCCAGTGAAGTCTTTCCTGTCCTTTTGGGGCAGTTGCAGCAGAAAAAGGAGCATCAGAATCTCTGCCATGTGGTGGATTCGAGGGGGCATTTTGCAAACAGCTGCAGGAGGCCCAGCCAGCTGTGTGTGTGTGTGTGGGGGGGGGACAAGGTATTCATGATCGCAATTTCCTCTGCAGATTCACCTGTCTCGCCGGGCCTCTTCGCTGGTTCTGTCCAAGCCGGGAGCACTCGTCCCATAGTACTGTCTACAGGCCACGATCCACTGCTTCTAACTGGTAGACAATTAACAGCCCACACTCACTGTCTTCAGTTGCCTTGAGCAGTGGATTTGGTGACTCTTAAACCTCTGTTGCCAGGGGAAGCAGAGGGATCAGCTCTCCTGACATTCTGGCCACATTTCTACCAACTGCTCCACAGGCTTGTCCCATGCACGCTTCTGTTTAAGGAGCTCTTATTTTGTACAGTTGCTAACTCAAACCAAACTTCTCTAAAGTGCACACATTTTCTGGAGGGTACATCACAGTATTCTTGCTCTATGAGAAACTGGGTTGCCCGTTGGTGTTGTGTTTGGGGGCTGTTTTAAATTATAAATAAAAAAGCACAAAGGAAAAAAAAAAGACACGATGCTCACTCAATAGGAGGTGCTTATGTATGACATGAGAAAGCTAAGGTAGGCATTGCTGGGAGCATGGGCGTCTGAAGGGCATCCATACTCAGCTGCTGTGCCCCTGTCCTTGAACCTTGCAGGCAGCATGGTCTTAGGTTAAGCCTGAGGGTGACTTGTACTCGGTCACTTAGTGTGGCCACTTCCACCTGCCTGTCTATGTAGACAAACCTGAGTGTGTGTCGGGTCTCACTCAGTCCCAGCAGCTGACCTCCACCCACTGCTTGTGCCTGTCCATCCAGAAACTTTCATGTCCACAGACACCTCCTCTGTTTTGGGTCCTAGCGATGCTGGTCTGACCACATCTCTGCAGAGGTTCTGGTTCTGAGGGTCTGCCTGACCAGTCCTGGCACAAGGCTGTCAAGACCAGGATCTTGAAGTCTGTTGCAGCTTGGACTTTGTAGTTTTGGATCTACACATACGTTTTAGAGAATAGGTAGCTGTCTCAGACAGAATCGAGGACCAGCTGACCCAGATTTTTAAACTGGGGTCACAGTTCTACACTGGGTACATATGGGGGCCATGAAAAAAATGGGGAACAGTAAAGGGGTTCTGAATATGCACTGGGCAAAAATGAATTCAAAAGCAAGCACCTAAGGACTCTGAGGTGTTTTGGTGACTGCGTTGCCGTCTTGGTCCTAACTACGCAGCGTGGGCATTCTGCACCATGTCCTGTCATTTGCCACAGCCATGAATGCAGCCTGAAACACCTCAGCTCAGACTGGAGACCACTGTGTGTTATCAACTGTAGTGTTTTCCGGTACATGCTGAGTTTTTTTTCTGGTATAGAAAGCTAATGCGTTCATGTTGGAAGACATACTGTTACAATGTTCCTCCTGTTCCTCCTCAGCACCAAAGTATCAGATTAGTCCGTCTTGGGATTGCATTGGGCTATGCTGTTTGATTTTTAACATTTAATGTTTGAGTCACTGACTTGAACTTCATAACACACACATACACACACACACACACACACACACACACAGGCACACACACACACACCCATTGGATACATTTTAGCTTTGGATTGAGAGGGAATTTCTAACAATTTTTGAAAAGATCCTGACTACACACCTGCTATTTTGTGCTTTGTATTTTGTAAAGTAGTGTTCTTAGCACTGATGGTTATAAAACTCAAAATTTCAATCAATTGAAGATACCCTGTCCTGCAGTATCAATTATTCAGCCATGGGTTTGCTCTTAATGGAAACAACAAAGAAGCCTGCCCATTTCATCTGAATGGATTAGAACTTTACATTTGTCTTTAATAATTGGTAACATTGTATGTACACTAAAGGACTGTTTTAAAATAGATTCCTTTGTAATTTGTTATTGGTAAACCTTTTATTTGCTTATCTGTCCTATATACCTGGATGGCATATGTTTGTTGAATAAGGAGACATGAAAGGAGAACTTTAAGGACCACTGATTTATGACTCTAATCTCTCCTGGCTTCAGCCTCAGAATTTTAATCCTAAGTGTGCCAACCAGAGAGGCTCTCTGGCTTGATTTGGGACTGATGTGGCTGTCTGGGAACCTTTCTCGGGGGCTCTTCCTGGGGGTAGAGGCTGAATCCATGCATGACTTTCTCAGCCCTCTGGTTTAGGGCTCTCTTCCTTTCTCTGAATAGCTTGGAAAGATGCCCTTTGGCACCCTGAATACTGACAGGTGTCAGAGGCCAGAAGTGAAGGAGTGTGGTTTTGCAATCCAATGTAGCTTTCCCATGAGTTATGGGAACCCAGGGAAGGCATGTAGTTTCAATTCACTCAGTTTCTTTGAACCTTCCACCCCATGTCTGAGAAGTTCTCCTGATATTCACTCGTCTCCTCTTTATAGCACAGTGATGATCTTGTGCAGGGATTTGAACCTTCTGAGTGTGGGCAGACACAAGACACAGCAGGGTGAGTCTGCAAGACTAGCCATGAAACTAAGCCAACATCTGACTATTACTGTGTTATCAAGAAATACAGCACAGGGGGTGCTTTCTCTCTGACACTCCACCTTGAGTGGTGTGTGTGTGTGTGTGTGTGTGTGTGTGTGTGTGTGTGTGTGTGTGTGTGGTGTATGAATAGGTGTGCACATCACGTGTATGTACATGACCCTATACATGTGCTTCTGGATGCAGAGGTCTACGTCCAGTGTCTTCTTCTATTGCTCTCCACTTACGTTTTGAGACCACCGTGGAGCTGGTGGACTGTCCAGGTGGGCTCACCAGCAAGCCCTGGGATGGATCCTCTTGTTCTTGTGTCCTAGTTCCGTGATTACTGGTGTGTGTGTTTCCATGGACAGATTTCTAAGTGGGTGCTGGAGCTCCAAACTCAAGCCCTTGTGTGTGTGTGCTGCAACATCTTACCACGGGGCCATTTCTTCCTCTTTTATCCAGAGGTTCCTAAAGAACAGAATTCTCAGAAGCAAGCAGGGTACATTAGAATCCCCACTCAGTGTTTGGTTTCAACTCTGGGGTAGGAGCGAACCAGTCACCTCTGAGCCGCAAGACAGGTTAGGAGAAAGCATTGGTCAGCGGTCTCTCACCCATGCCTTTCTTCTTTGTCCCAACAAAGAGGCTTCGGAACTTTATTATTACTTATTTATTTATTCATTTATTTATTATTTTTATTTTTTTTACTCATTTGCTTTTGTGAATGGGGAAGAACAGAATGAAAGACTCTCTCAGGGGCCCCAAAGCCTGGACTCTGTGATTTAAACTAAGGTATAGACATGCTGCAACTCACATTAAACATACAGTGGTTGTCGACCTGGGCAGAGTCTGGACATCTGGTCGGAGCCGCCCTGAAGAGAACAGCTACCTGTTCATAGAGGCAGAGCCCCAGACATGGCTGACCCTGGAGCGTACAATGAGCTTGTTCAGAGCGTACCGTACCTCCATGAGGTCATCAGTGAGATGTGTGATACACTCATCTCACAGACTGGATGTGTAGTAGGTCTAGGGGTGGGGTGGGGGGAGGTTGCTTGAGTTTACTATGACTTCTCCCCTGCATTCATACTTAAACTCAATCCCCATGGGGCAGAGTAAGTGGGCTAGGGCATGATTAAGTCAGGCAAGCTGGGAGGAACCAACCAGGTGCGTTTCATTCTTCTGTCCTCCATAGTCATGTGAGGTCAAGGGGACATCTTGCAGCAGAATCTCAGCTCATCAGACCCCAAGCATTCTCAACCTGATACTGGATACTGGTTTCGAGAACCATCCATGAGAAACTCACTGCTCTTACTTCCAAATCCCCACTTTGGGATCTTTTTTGAAGCACCAAGAGAAAAAGTCGCTTACAACCTCCCAACTCTGACGAGCTTTAAAGAATTCAAGTCTGGTCCCTGTCCTGAACCTCTGAGGCAGGACAATGACATCTCCACCATCAGCGATTCCTACGAGAGAGTCCAAGACTGACCATCCACACCGAGCAGTGGACTTCACACTGTCCTCAGCAGCGGACAGTCCATCACTATAGGGCCACTCCGGTCACTGTACTCTAAATCCCTTCCTCTGCTCAGTCTGGCCCTCCTAGGAGACAAATGTGACAGCTATGTTCCCCCGGGGTTTCCCATAATCTCAGGTCCTGCCCATCCTGCAGCAGGTGACTCAACCCCAGAAAACCACTCCCCCCCCCAGATCACCATCTGCTTGGGACGAAAGAAAAAGGGGTTTCTTGTCTTGGTTTATTATTTTTAAAAGTCAAGGTCTCAATTAAGCCCCAGTGGTTCCCAGGGACATCTCTAGCTCCCAGCCTTCAGGGCTGGAGCAGGCACAGCCAGCTGGATGGTATAGGGGACGGGTGATAGCTTGTAAATCCTTCCCAGAGTCACGGTCGGTCTCGTCGCCGTCAGCGCCAGCTCCCCAGCTCTTACCGACCCGTGATACGGGCATCATTACAGCCTCCTTGCACTCATCCTTCACACTTTCGGAATGGGGGAAAAGGGAGATTAATTGTAGAGCGAGACTCTTCAGCAATTTGCTGAACCTATACATTCCTGGCATTAATCTTCCCCCAAGTGCCCTATCATTAACTTGGAAAATCACCCGGGCAAAACCATCACGTAGATACATGCAAATGCAAACACATAAATAGTGTGCAGAGCCAGAGGGCGGGGGGAGGGAGCTGTCGGGCACCAGAGAAGGAAGATGATCCATGGGGCTCTTCCTCCAGAAAGCTCTGTCTGTGACTGTGCCATTTATCTACAGCCATGCACTATTTATTAGAATGGCTTACTTTGGGCTTGGGCTGTGGGAAACCTTTCCATGTCCAGGTTGTGCTCAAATCTTATGAACAAAAATCACTTCATTGTCGCTCTCCCCGAACACTCTTCTGCCCACTAAAGAGTCTAGGGACCATTTGCCCACTAAATTCTCCTCCGCTCAGAAGGAAAAAAAATAGGCAAAAATATGCTGATTCGGAGGTTTTTCATATTGTAGCGATTTTTATTATGCCGAGTTAGATTAGTCTTATCACATATAAAATTGGCCAGAGCACTGGACTGCTCGGTGCAGCCTGGAAGACTGACTGTCCACATGAAGATTTGATTTTTAGATAACCAGAGGTCTCTGTGCCCGTAAAATCATACTGGCCAGCAAGGCAGGGAAATCGGCGTCCTCCGGAGGACAGTGGCCCTTGAGTCTGGGGGGAGGTTGCAGGCTTTGTTCCGGCCACTCCTCTGCATTCTCCACTCAGTGCGGACTGAAGCAGCCAACCTGACACTCAGCACTGCCAGCGTGGGGGAAAA